TTTTATTAGAGGAGCAAAATTGGTGGTTTCCAACTTTCTAGCCACTGGCTGTAGCTCCCCCAATGTGATACTCTGGGTGGGGGGAGGAGAAGAGAGGGGGGAAGCCCAGCCTTAGTAGTACTTACATGGATTCCATAGCACCCCTGGCTGGGTTTTTTGATGTTCCAGGGCGCTTTAGTACACAGTTTGGGAGCCACTGACCTAAATTGTACTTTGTTGTTGTTTAGTCGTTAATTCATGTCCAACTCTTTGTAACGTCCTGTCTTCCACTGCTTCCTGGAATTTGGTCATATTCATGTTGGTAGCTTCGATGATACTGTCCAACAAGAACTGTACTTTAAATATAGCTAAACTGTGGTTTGAAGTGATGGCTTGAAGTCTAGAATGCAGTTTGATTAGAAGGTTCTGTGTTACTAGGTGTTCCCCTGAGAACCTGTGAGGAAATGTGCATAGCCCAATTGACATTCTGAAAATAGCATCACATTACTGGGCAAAGCACCACAGTTTAGTAGTCACACAACTACACACACATATTTCAGAAATCTATTGTTCTTCACTTTCCTTCTTCAGCTCACTTATGGTTCTGCCCCAGTGCTGGCTAACAAAATCAAAGGGTCCTTCTTCCACCAGATGTTTCCAAACAGGGCCCACCAGCATATAGGGATTCTTCGTTTACTTCAGCATTTCCACTGGACATGGATTGGAGTGCTGTACCTGGATGATGACAACGGAGAAAGGTTTGTACAGAATGTGCTTCCTACCTTTTCACTGAACGGCATCTGCTTTGATTTCATACAAAGTCTCCCCAAACAAGGGACATCATCTTTGGAGGACTTTGAAAAACTTGTGGAAGAGGCCACCGGAACGTGTAGGAAGTTTATGCAAAGTAGTGCTAATGTGTTGATCCTTTACGGGGAAATTCAGACCACATCAGTTTTGGGAATGTTGCTAAAGCTTTCAGACTGTCAAGATGTCCTGGTTAAGACAAAAGGGAAACTCTGGATTTTGACGGCCCAGATGGATTTCACATCACTCTCTTTCCAAAGAACTTGGGGCATAGACTACCTCCACGGTGCTATATCCTTGGCAATTGAATCAAAGGAGGTGTTAGGATTCCAGAAGTATGTTCAAAGCAGAAACCCAACCTGGGAAAAAGAAGATGGTTTTATGCAAATTTTCTGGGAGACTGCTTTTCTTTGTTCTTTGCTGAATTCCACTTCGTACCATTCATTTGATGAAACCTGCAGCGGCCAAGAGAAGCTGGAAACGCTTCTTACATCTGTCTTTGAAACAAGCATGACTGCCCACAGCTACAGCATCTACAATGCTGTTTTTGCTGTGGTGCATGCACTCCAGTCCTTGATTTCATCAAAGTCCAAAAAGAGAGCTATGGTGAAAGAACAGAGACAGAAGCTTCTCAGTCAAGTGTCATGGCAGGTAAAATCCAAGGGCAATAAAAATGATGATAAGGAGATCATAAGGATTACTGAGAGGATGCAGAAAAGTGATCTGTATGGGGGAAAACCTGTATTTATCCATGTTTAAGACTGTACTTTTGTCTAAAATCTTTAGACTAAAAATTGAGGGTCATCTTATAGATAGAAGTAAGCTAAGAAGAAAAAAAAGAAACAAGTGGAGGGTAAAGCAGAGATCAAAGTGATCCTGCAGGGATTTGATCCCTGCTTTCTCCTCCACTCGCCAAGCCTTAGCAAAAGGAAAGCAGGGATCAAAGCGCTGCAGGATCACTTTGATCTCTGCTTTCCCCTCTGCTTTCTATGTCCCATGGTGCTTAGCAAAAGGAGGGGGAAGAATCAAAGCAATCCCATGGCTGTATAAGGGGAGAAGGGATCCAAATGATTGTGCAATCATGGAATCAAAGCAATCCCGTGGCTGTATAAGGGAGAAAGGGATCAAAATGATTGTGCAATCATGGAATTATTTTGATCCCTTTCACCCTCCTTTTGCTAAGCCACGCAGGGCTTAGCAGAAAGGGAGAAAGCAGGGATCAAAGCCATCCTGCAGCACTTTGATCCTTTTTACCCTACATTTGCTAAGCCCCACTTAGATTTCTTAATTTTGGGTTTAAAAAGTGGGGGCATCTTATACATGGGGGCATCTTAAACACGGAAAAATTACAGTATTTAGACAGATATTAGTACATAGTGCCATTACTATGACTAATATTAATGACAGAATTAATTAATCTGTCTCCATTGTATTTATCGTCTGAAATAGAGTGGCTCTTTTGTTTCCCTTTCAGAAGCTCCGTTGTCTCCAGACAGGAGCAGACATAACTTTAACATAACGTTTGCCAAATCTTGTAGCTCAGTGTAGTAAATTACATTAGATTACAGCAAAGTTTAAGCAGGCCCACTTGAATCCATGAAACGAATGAAGGGGTTGACCCACCAAACTCCCATTGATTCAAGAGATCTACTCTAGTGTGATTTATGACAATAAGCAACAGGATTAGGCCAAAAAAAATTCTTTTGTCATAAGCCTAAACTGTGCAGTCTAAAACATGCCAAGCCAGAAGGCGTTATCATTAATTTCAGGGATTGTTGCACATTAATATGCAGTCGAAGAATGAATTTCTGTCTAACAGTTGAGAAGTCTCTGAAAAGCAGCAGTCACTTGAACCCCATTTTCCTTCACTCTCAGACATATATACAAATGTACTGCCCTCACACCTATACACAGATTATGAGCCCCCTAATCACAATGCAGTTAGCACACAACAGTTACAAAATATGAAAAACTTCCTGACCTCCCAGGAAGAGAAAGCCTAAGTTTTCCACCTTGAAAAAAACATACTATCTCTTTGTACACATCCATGTGTATTTTTAGAACCATGCATATTTTAACACTCCAAAGAGCATCTTTCTGTCTATTAATTACCGTATTTTTCCATGTATAAGACTGTACTTTTGTCTAAAATCTTTAGACTAAAAATTGAAGGTTGTTTTATACACAGAAGTAAACTGAGGAGAGAACAAAAACAAGTGGAGGGGAAAGCAAGGATCAAAGTGATCCTGCAGCACTTTGATCCCTTTCCCCCTGCACTTGCTAATCCCTACTTAGATTTCTTAATTTGGGATTAGAAAAGTGGGGGGGGGGCATCTTGTACATGGGGCGTCTTATACAGGGAAAAATGTGGTAAATTGCCTTCACATTGATTTGACCTCCTGTCCTTAAGGAAGCAGAAGAACAAATACAAAAATATATGAATGGATACTTCATATATTAAATATATAAAATGTATTAAAATGTGTGATTCAGCAGGATTCTCTTTACCACACATGCATTGCATAGTCAATTTTTAATCACAGTTGCTGTACATGTCCACCAGGTTTTTTAGGGCGAAAAATCCTTATTTTTTTTCTCTCAATTTTAGCTCTCCCATTTTATGAGAAGTGTTTCATTTAACAACAGCGTTGGGCAGAAGATTTCTTTTGATGAAAGTGGCAGTTTATTAGCTGGATTTGATATAATTAACTGGATCACTTTTGCCAACAATTCTTTTCTTAGAGTCAAAGTGGGAAAGGTAAAACCACATGCTGCCCAGGACAACATATTCACAATTCAGGAGGATAATATTGTATGGCCTAACAGTTTTAACCAGGTAAGAATCCATGCAGATTCTCACATGTTTCCAGTTACTTCCCTAAACATGAGAAAAAGTCTCAAGTAAATCTCTCTCTTGCCATCTCAGTAAGAGGCAAAAGGGATCATGCAGTCTTTATTTTGTCACTCCACAGATAGTTCTTTCTTCAGACCTTCCTGCAAATTGAGTTATCAGAATTCTTAGCTTGTCTTTATCAGTTGCAACAGCATAAGGTAAAGAACTGAGAGACCCAAGGACTGTACTATAAAACAAATGTTAACAGTTTAACTAGATAGGATGAGAAA